AATATTTTGATAAAAAGGGTTAAATTTTCTTCCCTTCTCTTTAAATCTAGTATCTTAAGACTATAAATTTGTGTTAAAGTTTTCCTATATTTTCTCGTGGATCCTGCGTCTAAATATCTCAATGAAAGCACACACCGTTATTTAGACGTTGTCAGTCACGAGCGTAACTAATGTATGTTTCAGTTGATAAATGCCTTAAGTTTCTTCTTTTCTCTAATTTCTGTTTAAAAGATTGTAGGGTAAAACTAGAATAAGGTTTAAATATTTGTAAGATTAAATTTAATTGTAAGAAGTTAATTAAATTAAAAAAAATTTACCTCTAAAATAAAGATTGAATTTAACTTTTCCTGAAATCAGATTAACAATTTGAGAATTAGGTTAGATTTTCCTATTAACTAATGTGCTTAAGGGAACACAAGCACACTTATCTTTAAGCATAAGTATAACTTAAGTTAGTTTTCATTGACCTTTCATTTTCTCTAATTCCCCTTTTCTTGACTTAGTTGATAAATAGAATTTGATTTAGTTGAGTATTGATTAAGTTGATAAAAAGGATTTAATTTATTAGTGTATTGATTTAGTTGATAAATAAGATTTAATTTATTTAAATAATGATTTACTGATAAACAGGATTTAATTTACTAGAGTATTGATTTATTTGATAGATAAGAAGTAATTTAAGATTTAATTTAGTAGCATATTGATTAGGTTGGTAAAAAGGATTAAATTTAGTTTCTTGTTGATTAAGTTGATAAATAGGATTTAGCTTACTAGAGTATTTTCCTTTTCTTTTTTTCTTTAATTTCAATTTTTCAAGTGGTAAAACTACAGTTAGGCTTAAGTTTTCCTAGAAATTATTAACTATTGGTTATGTAAATTCTAAAATCCATCTCTCTAATTATCATTTAGCTCACTTTTCCTACTTAATTCTCTCCATTTCCATTGTATTCTGTGTGTGCATGATGAGTTTTTTTGACACTTTGTATTCATGTTTTGTACAATACACAGATTTTTTTTTTTTTGTATATATTGTCAGTCCTGGGAATGATAAACTTTATGATATTTGGTTAATTGTTGATTATCTTAATTTTCCCCTCTATTCACTATCTGGTATAGTATAATGTATGTATGTTATATAATTTTGGTTTTCTTTTGATAGTTAATGAATTCTTTTAATTCATTTAATATGTCTGACACATCATTGTCCTAAAACTCTCATTATTAAGGTTAGGATTACTTTATAAATTTATGAACCATTTTGTTTCCTTTCATTCATTTCAAATCACAAGTAGCCGTTAATTCTTTCTTTAAAAAAAAGTAGGTGTTAATTTTTTTTCTCTTGTGGATGCTTTGTCTAAATATCTCAACTCAAGCACACACTGTTATTTAGACATTGTCATTTATGAGAGAAAAAGTTTCATGGTCATATTGAATTTAAAATTGGTAAATATTTTCAAATTTGATTAATTTAATTTCCCGAGATTAATTCATCACCTTCCTTCTATAACAGTACATTGGAACAAGATCTCAGTCATTCTAAATTTAGGAGTTTCCTTGTTAATTAAGGCATATCTATTTTCTACCTTTATTTATTTCCCTTCTCTGTAAGTTAATTAGTTAAAAATTATTTTGTTTGTGTTTCGTGCATTGAATTACGTTTTGTAATATTTATATTGTACTGTTAAGTGCATCTCAAGGGGTCTCTGTAAGTGAATTTTTGATTAAATAGGACCTTAATTTAGATTGATAATTTTAGATAAATTTAGTAAATGCAGTTTTCTTTCTCTATTTCAGCCTGTTGTCTCCTTTACAATTGTATTGATTCCAAAAGATATTTCTTGTTATATTTTCATATGAGTGTGGTTTATAAATATCTTAAATATCTTAATTAACTCGTGCACATACTATTATCTAGACCAGGTGCAATTATTTTATTCTCATTTCCACATTGAGGTTAATTTTTCAGTTCAAATTTCATTTTAACTTCTCAGAAATGTTTTTTTTCTTTTGGTTTTGAAATTAAACTGTTAAATTGTTAAATTTTTAATTTAAATTGGCTGGGTTTCCATTTCATTTTCCGTAATTTCATTTACCTGTAATGTTGCGATCTGTCCTTGAGATGTTTCTATTTGATGTATAAAGTCATTTATTGTTCTGTATAATGAATGAAATTATATATGTTTGTGTATCTAGTGGGTTTCCTGTACATGTAAATAATCTGACCAGGTGGGACTTTGGGGTTGCAAGTTAAGTCTTGGTTGCATTGCTTTGTTGTATTAATATATCAATGTATTATGTTATAAATGAAACAATTGTTGCTGATAATTGATTGCTGATCATCGTAAGGCTTGCTTAATTGATTGCTGATCAACGTAAGGCTTGCTATTTCCGTTCATCAATTTGATATTTCGTAATCGACTGTCGCTGCAGAAATTTAAAAACTTTCCGAAGAAAAACGCCTCTGTACAATTTGCCTGGTTCATATACCTAAAATGATCGAAACGCGAAACCTGCAAGAACGGTAGCTTGGTTGTAGGAACACGTTAGCATATCTGATTCTTCTCTGTTAACAAGTTAGTACATTTACTTTCCTTAAAAACACAACATTCAAAAAAGTAAAAATAATTTCTTTAAATTATACGGATCATACCGGTCATATATATTGATTTTAAGACTTCAATTATAAGCAATGATTGATAATGAAAATTTCTTTCAACACTTTAAGTATTATTGTATTAAGTTATAATCACTATAGCTGTCTGTCCATTATTTGTCCTGTATCCAGATCAAACATTAGAGGAGGGTGCTCTTACTGCTGTATTTAAACTATATCTTATGCTTAAGTACTTTGTAAGGTTATCTTATTTGTTCTCAGCTTTTTACAAGGGTTATGCGAACCAAATTTGTACATGATGCTTCTACTGATGTGGTTTCCAAACCAATTTGTACTCGATGCTTCCATGGATGCTTCCTTGAATGCTGTAACCAAACCAAATTTGTATATGATGCTGCTGCATCTGACCTTTATTTCTTGCTTCAGTGGCTCTGTTTATCTTAGCAGCTAGGTTATTGTCCTATATCAAAACTTGTACAGATGATGTTTCTTTGGATGCTGAGTCTGATGCTGAGCCTGATGACGAGTCTGATGATGAGTCTGATGTTAGTCACTTACAAACCACACTTGCATGCATGTTGTCTCAATGTTGCATCTGCTGCATACATTTGATAGATTGTATTCAACCTACATTTTAGGTGTGATTACTCAGAAAAGAGACCGAATTTATTGTTGGTGTTCTATATTTTGGTATATAATTTTTTTTTATACAAGAATTATACAGTATTTGCATTGTATCATGTGTGTCCTCTGTTATTTTGTATGCTGCATTTAGAGAGTATATTGTTAGTCTCATCTGCACACACTATTCTGTATGTTTCTCTGCCACAACCCTCGCCTCAATTCACCTCAGCCTGCTAGATGTACAGTAAGTGGTTTCTTGTCCTGTACGTGGTCATTATGCCACTTAACTGATGATGAGCTTGTAGCTCTACTGGTCAAAGACAAAAAGAGATCATGTGATGGTAAGGTTCTGTTGTCAGTCCATCTGTGTTTATCTGTTATGTACATGTAATTGTTTGTATGTTGATCTGTAGAAAACAAAATTTATGATTAAGATTCAGTGTCATTTTTGGATTTAATCCCCACAAGTTTGGATTGATTTCAATTAAATTTAATAAGTAGGCAACAGAGTTTATATTTAAGCTTCAGTATCTGATCAATGCATGCAGTTTGGGATTTTGACTGACAATGTATATGATATAAATGTAAATGATATCAAGAAAACTTGCCCCATAAAGAGATTTATCCATGGATCATTACTAAATTGATATTGCTGTAGTAAATTTATATTGCCGTAGTTTAAAGCCCAATAAAGAACTTTCCTGTAGACTAGCTTCCTTCATTAAACCAGTAGAGCTTAAGCCATAGTCAGAGACTTCTAGAAGTCTTCATTGTACAAAAAAAAAAGTTACAAAAAAAATATAAAAAAAAAAATACAAAAAAAAAATACAAAAAATACAAAAAAAAAAAAAAAAAATACAAAAAAAAAAAAAAAAAAAGAGAAAGAAATGGTGGGTTATGCTTGTTGTATGTAGTATAATGTGTGTGGTTATGAATAGGTGCATGTTTATATGTGTATATGTGTATGATAGGTGTACATTCATGTGTGGGTAATATTTGTACAAGTTATGTTTGTATGTGACTATGTAATGTATATAATTATATGCATCAGTGTGCTCTTTGTACAGTGACTGAACAACATATCTTGACGATAGAACATCTTGGTTAACTTACAGACCTGACATCAGATTAGATTATAAATACGGACTTTTTTTTCAAATTAAAATGCATGAATCATATGATATGCTTCATGAATTATCTTCATCATAAAGATCTACCTTTTTCCTTTTTAAATTTACTAAAGTCAGAGGTCATTTAGTTTTCTGCTATTCTAAATCCAATGATTCTCTAAAGATATCTTAGAAATCTTGCAGTAGTTTTCAAATTGTGCATTTGGACTTGATTGACAATCAAGACCTTTTAAAGTCAAATTTTAAAATCCCCGTATTTCACTTAAAGTGTCATGAATCAAAATTCTTAATTGTCCACGACTCTAACCACTTCGCCATGTGAGTGCACTATATATAGGGTTGGGAGGGGGTGGGATGGGGTGATTAAAAAACTGTTTTCTAGTATTTGTCAGGTGATGAGACTAACCAGTCCATCAGGAGCTGCAGTATGATGAGTGTTTCATTTCATTCAGTTTATTCCCTAATTTGTGAAATGATGAATTCAACATTTATTTTGTGTAAGTTAACTCAAGTTTCTATAATTGCACTTTTATAAATGTTTTTCACCCATTCAATTAAATGTTATCTTCACACAATTTTTTGTAATAATACTTTTATAGGAATTTGTCATTTTTTTATCAGTTATTTTGAACTGTACTAATCTTGAGTCAGTTTCTATCTGTGATGGACTCTCGGGAGGGATGGCCAACCAAACAAGAGCAGACAATTGCCTGAATTAGGATACAGGGTATACACAGTACCAGTGGAGCAACATTGGAAAAAATAGTAAGTAGTGTTCTATTTCTTCTTAATCAAAGGAAGTACTCGTTTGACTTCTTGATTGCACTCATTTGACCTCTCGATTGCACTCATTTGACCTCTTGATCGATGATAATAGCTATAGAATAAAAGTTCCATAAGTCTTGATCTTATTGTAGAGAACTCCATCTCTCAATCATCAAGAAGAGTCTAGGAGGGGGAGCCAACCATGGTAAAGAGGGTAAGATACCAAAAAATAAACTCATTTCCTTGTACTGACCTCCATTTCTTAAGCTCGTCCGCACTTCGCATCTACATTAATATTGGGACCTGATATGGGACCTCTTTTGATCTTATTTTGATCTTATAGCTCTTTTTTACAGAATTGATGACAGCTGTACCTCACTACCCTTAGGACCCTTAGGTTAAGAAGTCAGTGCATCACTTGCCAGCAAGGATAGACTTTGGCCAACCCAAAAGGTTACCAAATGGTAAGGCATTAACTCCATCTCTTACACTGGATCAATTTATATTGCTCTATCTTTCAAATTCATTTAATAAAATTTTTATACCTTTGCAAAATAATCTTTCCACATTCTCTGTTAAGGAGGGATTCTTGTCTGGTTTCTGACTAAATAAAGCATTCAAATTATATTTGCATGTTGACGTATATATTTAGAGAGAAAAGATTTAAAAGATCATATTTTTCTGTCCTCCTCATAATTCTACATCTATAAATAGAAATGATAAACTGAATTTGAAATCTTGCATGATTATTATAATTTTTGGCAGATGGTAGCATTTGAAAATATCTCCTTTTTCTGCTTCTCAAAATTACCAGAGAACAATGAATTCAGGTAAAATTATTAAAAATTAAGGACTTTAAGAAATTTTCTGATGCAACTAAATTTAATAATAGACAAATTTAGAATATATAAAATAAATATGATTTTCCAAGTCCAGACTTCCCCCCCCCCCCCCTTTTGATTTTCAGAGTTGTTAAATTTTATGCAGTAAGCAAAAATGAACTTAATTGCCAACCATTATGCAGCAGCGTTTTTTTTCCTTATATAACTGGTACCGATAAACGGTACAATTCCCAATGCCAAAAACGTTAATTTTTCCCAATTTTAAGACTAAAAATTCCCAATTCAACTGCCAAGCAACTGACTACGATGATATCGTATTTATTTTCATATGAAACAGTGTACAAGTTGACTAATTGTTTCACTTCCGCTTAAATTGAAAGTAGAGATCAATTGTAAAATAAATATGGCGGGATCTGTTGTGTAAACAGCGTAGTGTCATACACATATTAAAAGCATGAAAGTGCAAAAAAACAGATATTGATATAAAAACAATAAATAATTGTTGTTTACTCTTTAAAACATGGAGTAATAGGTAATGAGATTGGAATTAACACAAAATAGGTTTCATTTGTTTCAATGACAAAAAATTCTCCTTTGTTTTACTTCGATGCTATTTTTCCCAATTGAACCGGTACCGGACCCTTTCCCAATGGGTAGAAAAAAAATCGCTGTGCAGGTTACTGTAGATTCCTTATTTTATATAGGCCTGGAACGATATATCAAGATATTTATAATATCTATTCTGTGTGAAGACAATACACATATCGATACATATGTAGAGAAATACTGATATATTGCAAAATATGTTTCTGACTTACGTTTTCTTTCTTTGCTTAACATTTTGGGTTTAATATATAAAATAAATTTGCTAAATATAGATATAAATATAAAATACATAATAATTAACACCACGTGTGTAAAATAATTTTGTTTTACAGCAGATAAATAAATTGTTCTTATTTGTGAAGAAAAGTTTTGTCCATTTCAATACAAAAATGACATTTTAAATCCAATTCAAAATATGATACATATCGTATCATGGCTCAAATATTGTAATATGAATTAATGTAGAAAAAGTTGTATCGTCCCGGCCCTAATTTTACATGAGTACTAAATGCAGCGAGATGACTCGTATATGTCAAAAAGTGAGAACGTGTATTTCAGCCATGTAAAAATTAGAGTGGAAAATTTTATTTTGGGGGCAGCTACTAGTGCTTGTCATGAAATTATGCAATAATTAATTCTACATTATAGGTAACATATACCACAGAGAAAAATACGCTCATCATATTCTCAATGTATTATTTTACCCCCGCTCTGAAGGAGAGGGGGTATACTGTTTTACCCTTGTGTGTCTGTCTGTCTGTCTGTCTGTGTGTGTGTCTGTCTGTCTGTCCGTAACAAATTTTTCGTCACAGTTTTCTCAGCAACTACTCATTGCAGATGCTTGAAATTTTAGCACACACTTTGTTGAGGTATGCCATATGGTGGAATAAATTTTTGTATGAATCCAATGTCAACTTCCTGTTTATCCATGCGTCTGTCCGTACCATACATAACAAATTTTGGTCGCAGTTTTCTCAGTAAGGCTCTAAATTCGCTCTTGAGTACATCTGGGAGGACAAATAAAAATTTTTTCTTAGCTTTCTTTATGTGTATTTGAAGTTTTTACTCTAAATAGGACAAAAAAATGTTTGAATAGATAATCAAGTCAAAAATAAATATTTTATTAATGTTTGAAATATGTGTCACGTAACACGTGACAGACATATAACGTAACATGACAGACGTATGGTAAAAAGTGACATGATTAAATTACATTTCTGATGCTTAGCAATACAAATAATCTGTAAAAAATAAAATTAAACTAGATGCTGTCATGAGACAGTAATACCCGCACTAAGGTGTTTGCCTCTAAATGCACACTCCTTCATATTGGGCTTACCAAGGAAAAAGTCCAAATAATTCTATAATTTACACAGTACATGTATTCGTCAAATCGAGCATAAAATGCTCAGGTGACCATGTGACCCATGAACCTCTTATACGCATTTCATATACTTAATTCATTACCAGTCTGAAATATCAGAATTTAATTAATGTTGTAAATTAGGTTTTAATAAAAAGGGGGGGGGGATATAAATTTTTGGCCCATAATTGGAACTTTTTAAATTAAATTTATCTTCTCAACAACAAATAATATTATTTTAGTACAAAGCGTTTTTGATGAATTTATCAAAATGTGCAAACTTTTTTTAGTATTTGATTAGGCAAAAACCTCCTTGAAAAGCCATACCCAATCAATTTATATGTGTCCCCCCCCCCCCCCCCCAAATACACACACACACACAATTTGCCTGTTTTTGGAAATAGGCCTAGATGGCAAAGTTATGTTAAAACATCGTTTGTTATGATAATTTAAAATTTGTTCTTGTACTGTACATGTATGTGAACACCTTTTTGAAAATTTCTACATCACATTGGGCTTGCGTCACCCTACCAGTACTAGTACTAGTTTTACCATTATCATTTTTAGATTGCACATGCCATGTGACATGGTGCAGTGTTACATGTATATCAGTGGAAATTAATTCATTTTGTGTTTTAATTGGATTATATTTCATGAAGTTGACAGGACCTATGACAGTCGGTAAGTACAAGTTTAAGTATAGATTGGGGTAAAATAAACCAAAATGCAAATGGTTAGGTTAAAATTTAAAAAGGATCGAAGATCATCGGCAATCTCCTATGCAGAGTTGTCGTTCGTTTCTCTCTCAGACACTGAATGTATGAGCCGATCGTAGAGAGTGGATCATCGATGCCACAATAGACGAATTTCACATTCTGAAGAGTTATCTCCCGTTGTCGACATTACATTCAGTTACAGGCATAGATCCGGGAATTTTTTCCGGGGGGGGGGGGGGGTCCACACCTCGGTCCAAAAAAATTCCAGCCCATAATTTCCTGAGGAGCAAAATAAAAAAAAAAACAAACAAACAAACAAAATAAAAACAATGATGGTGGGGTCCATGTTTTTAAAGGGGGAGGGCATCCAAAGTCATTTTTTATTTGCTTCTGTAAATCAGTATATAGTCCTATTTAAATAACTCTGCAAATTCCAGGGGGGGAGGGGGGGTTCCAATCTCCCTAGCCGCTCCCTGTCCCTGAAATGACAAATGATCATGCGACTCCTAAATAGTAGAAAATTTTTCCATTTGACTAGACATAATTTTGTTTCTTGTGTTATTATGTTATGTACATCTAATGGTTTAAGGTTATGAACCCTGGAGGTCATCCCCACTCTCTTGTTCATAATATGACTACATCAAATTAAATAGAAGTGCATCAATGATAAGATTACTTGACATTTCATTCATGAATTTGGGTCAACCTAGAATTAGGAATGAAAATCATTCAAAGAGATGGACCATTAAACTATTTGTATGTATTCACATTTTTTTTATGTCAAACCAAAGTATTAGACTAGTTTGCATACATGAACAAACTGGGGTCTGGGAAGGGGAAGGGGCAAGGGGAAGGAGTTATCTCTTTACGTCTTAATTAATTGTTGAAAATTCCTAAAATGAATGTTAACCTTAAATCCGACTTGTACGTCTTCATTATTTTTAAGTGGTGGTGTCTCCGTATGAGTGAAAAATTCCCAAGAGGGACATTTAACAACAAACAAACATTAATGACTTAAAAAACACAATATACATGTACATGTTTATTAGTCAATGGATATACTTCTGATCATATCTCTAGTTCTCCCTTGAATCAGAAATGATGATATAAATATTTTAAGAATGATTAAGAGTTGAAAAGGTTGTGCATTTTAAAATTCACTAAACTCTGTGGTTGAATTAGCTATACCAGTTTAGCTTATTTTGCTACTCAAAGCACCTTGATTAACTATTTTTAATCATACTGTTTTCTGAAATGTGAAGTTTTTTCAACATGGATACAAGTCATACCTTTTCAGCTTCTGAAAACAATTAATGCATGAAAAAAAAACTGCTTTTCAAATACTGTAACTCTTTCCAAGTACTTGTGATCATCAGTTTTTAGCTCACTTGAGTTTTTCTGGTTTTCTGATCACATTTTGTTTGTCATTCATCTGTCCGCCTGTAAACTTTTCACATTTTTGTCTTCTTCACTAGAACCGCCGGGCCAATTTCAACCAACCCAGCCACAAAGCATCTTTGGGTAAAGGGGATTCAAGTTTGTTCAAGTGAAGGGTCACACCCTCTTTCAAGGGGGGATAATCAAGAATTAGTGAAAATTTGGTGGTATCATTTTAAAAAAGTCTTATCAAGAACCACTGACTGGGCCCAAAAAGTTGAAACTTTCTTTACATAGACAGTGTAGCTTCAAATTTGTTAAAATTATGACCCACTGGGGTAGGATGGGGCCACATATGGGGATCCAATGATTTACATAGAAAAATGCAGGGGATTTTTTCCATCATAAATCTTCTTCTCGTGAATAGCAAGGGCATTATTGTCGTCCATTTTCACAAAAGGGACCTAGGGGACATTAAATCTCATTTGTCTGTCAGTCTGTCCGTTTGTCAGTCTGTCCGTCTGTCACAATAAATTTAACCTTGGTCATAACTTCTGAAT